ATAACACAGATCGTGGACGCAAATTCCTACCCAGCTACATTTCGAATCGCAAAGAATGACAGGGACCAATTGTCATTGTTAAATCCGTCAAGGATATAATATCCTTGGATCCATGAAAATATCTTTATAGAAACTTTATTGACACGACAAAAGTACAGAGACTTTCGTAAGTAAACAAGGCACAATATACCCCTGCAGAAAAAGCCAATTATGCACACGCGAATCCAAAAACATACCCTTTCCACCTGCTTTGCACACATACCCTCCCAACACAGCAACTCAGACCACCACATACCATTACAATGCAAACCTGTCTATATTAGCACCCGCTAATATTTTTTTCTAGTTCTTCTTCCCTTCGATGATCACGACATGATGCGGTTAAAATTGACGGACTTTTCACTATTCAGTTTTGTCATTTCTACTATCTACGTACTTGACGACGTCTTTATACTCTTATAATGCAAATATTGGGTATATCCCATACATGTATTGGACAATGCTGGGATGGCAAGTATAACACCTGGGTAACGCCAGCCTTTGATTAGTAGCTGTCCAAAATAGTTGTATCGGATTTCTTACTTTCGAACTCCTTGCTCGCAAAACGTCCTTCCAGATGTGAGTGTGGCTATTCTCCGGTCGTTCCATAATTGGAGAAGGGGGTATGGTCTATTCTATTCCTTTGAGAGGGTTGCACTTTCAGAACCATGGCGTAATATTTAACATTTCCAATTCAGTAGGAGAGAAACTACCTAACATCTGTGTCCATAATATCACCAGGGTCCATAATATCGCCACCTTGAGAAACATCGTGTTTAAAGATATTTTTACTGCAACATACATTTGGTATGCACTCCTTCACACATCAAATGTACATACCTAGGGTATGTTGCAGTAAAAATATCTTTAAGCACACTATTTCCCAAGGTGGCAATATTATGGACCCTGGTGATATTATGGACACAGATGTTACCTTTCTTGTGCGTCTTTAATATCATACATGCATGGTCACGTATATCTTCACTCCTCATCGAAACCAACCAAGTACAACCATGGTACAACACATTTCGCTCGAGGTGCATTTGTGAGTTTACAAATTGTCAGGGGAAATTGTGAACATATAGTCCAGGACACTGAAAGCTGAGGGTGTTGGTACAAGCTATAATTAATCTTATCGTGTCAATCATGGCCTAAGATACAGTATTACATCCATCATCGAAATGACTGTCATCAACCAAGAGTTCTCCTCGAATAAAAGCTTATCCTCTTTCGAATTCAGTTTCCAAAAAAGGCCCACTGCAGTTAAACGAAAGCTGGCAGGGGTGTGAATACCACTGTGAATACTGCTATTTACACACACACACACACACACACACATAGACGCGAAATCATTAGATTCTTTGCAAAGATAAATGACCTATCTAATCTCCAAGCAGATTCGGGGGGAAGAGACGATCGAATTGCCCGAATTATTCACATATTGCTGTTCAGGTGTGCCTGGTGCATGCTGCTGTGTCGCTGGAGTGCGCCAGAGTC